TTTGGACGAAGGGTGAACATGTGACGCAAGTTTTGCAGCAATTGGACATGAATTCCCTGGTGCTAGTAACAAACATTCCTGGAAAGGTTCACTTTCGTTACCTTCATCTTGTGTGGCGACGAGCGAGAAGGGATGAAAACGGTAAACGTGAGATTGTTTATGTTACTGCAGTTGGTGACACCGAAGCCAACACGCAAGCTCGAGAGGCCCAGGCTGACGTCCAGTGGGTACACGAGAGCGGCTTTTGCATTCGATACACGGAGGTGAACGAGTCAACGATCGATGTAACGTACAATCGCTGGTCTCAGTGTGAGAGTGAGGATCACGCTCGGAAGCTCTTCATCGACTGGTTTCAAGTGCTCTGCTGGTGGACCCAGCATGTGACTTCGTCCAAATTGATCGTGTCCTGAAACTGTAGGACGATACAAGAATGGTCACCGGATCGAACATTTTTTTCCAATCCATTTTTCCGATATACTTTTAGATACGCTTCTAAATGAACAATTATCTTGTTATATGACTATGTCGAGCCCAGCAGATTCCGTGGCACCACCTTCTGAGACCATTGGCATGTAGATTCAGCCCATAGAACGAAATAATGCTGCACGTGTCGCTCACTCTCGCAAATAGCCCAATGGTCAGAGGTAACGTCGATAGTAGTATCGTCAACTTGAGTAAATTTCATACATATCCCACCTTCACTAATCCACTGTACATCATGCTGCGATTCTTCAGCGATACGGTTTAATTTGTTGTCTTCAGTGTCTGCGATAACCATTTGGTACGAGATAGAGCGCCTTCCATTAGCTTCAGTACCAGGAACTCCTCGAGGTAACTGGAAGTACCGTGTGTGTTTTTGGCCAGGGATGTTGCATACCATGAGGAACGAATCTCTGTTAAACTCCTCCAACACTTGCATAATCACAAAATCACGCTGCGGACGACTCCCGTCTGGAGCGACGTAGAGAATAGCGATTGCATCCACTGGCGCTGCATTCATGAACGCGTCGGCATCTTCTAGAGCCCAGCCAACTCGAATCGAGAACCTCGCGTGAGCAAAAAACGAATTATCTGCTGTTCTTCGCACTAGTGGTGCATGGCGTACAGTCCAGCCAAAAAGTCTTCCTTTGATCGAAGAAAATGGTAGTTCTCTTGCCATTAGCTCCTCACAGACATTGAACTTGGAGACGTATTCTTCGCGAGTGAACGGTGTGAAGTAGAACGACGGCTCTTCATTTGGGAAGTGCACGCGCCAGCCAGAGTCATTGGGGTCTACACGCATAGTCCATGGAGCCGTCTGGCTCGCCTTACGAACACTCAGAGAGACAGAGCTCTTCTTTTTTGGAGAGGACGTGTCTTGTATGGCCTCGTACGTCTGGTTCACAAAGTGCTCGAATATCTCGATTTTTTGTTGAAACTTGATATTCTCAGTCCGTAGCGTATCCCTCTCAACAGCAAGGCGACATACAGCTCTCACGACTTCTTCATCGATCCTTGGAACGGTATAGTTAACCTCTCTATTAGCGGTGGACTTCCAGAACGCCTTTACTCGTCGTTCCACCTCCTGTTCCAAATATTCGCGTTCGGCTCGTAATTGCGCGAGCTCTTTCTTCTTCCGTGCTCGAAATCGAAGTGAGGTCTCGATTCGCTTCTGTCTTCTGATCTCCTGCTGTACCTCCTTCGCCCAAACTTCTGTTGTCGTGGCAGCCCAGTTCTGAACAAGAGCGAACTGGTTCGTGGAGTCGTCCGTATCAGCACAGCTGAGGCCACTGGCGCCACGCTGGCAAAGGAATTGCGCTTCTGACATTACACTATCGATACTCGGCTGGAGTGTCCTGAGGAGATAAAGCCGTTGGTTCTAACTGCGAGTGATCACTGGTGATCACTAGTATTGTGGAGCGATACTGATCACGGTACTTTAGTGCTAAATTTAGAATTGATTCAAACTGTACATTTGCTATTTCTAAAACAAAATGCAATACATTCTTGATTTATGTTACCCAGACTCGATCAACTTGAAAGATGTTGCACGCTGCGACCATCGACACACTACTTGAGCCCAGTCGACGAAGAGCTCCTGAGCTTGATTCTCACTCTCACTTTGAGACCAGCGATCATACGTCACATCTATTGTTGTCTCGTTTACCTCTGTGAATCGAATGCAATAGCCACTGTCACGAGCCCACTGGACGTCAGTCCTAGACTCTCGGGCTTGAGCGTTAGCTTCCGTGTCTCCAACCACAGCGACATAGAGAACTTCGCGTATACCATTCTCATTCTCTCTTGGCCACCGCAGATCAAGATGAACGTAACGAAAATGAACTTGTCCACAAATATTTGTCACTAACACGTGTGAGTTAAGGTCGAACTGCTGAAGAACTTGTGTCGACACACTTGTTTCGCCGCCTCTTCTCCAAGCCGTTGGTGTGGTCAAAAGCGGCCAAGAATTGACATCGGATGAAGACACCATGGCATCGGCATCTTTTAACGAACATTTAACACGTGTAGTTAATCTCACATGGGCGACAAGTGAACCAGTTTCAGCGTTGCGCGTCAGAGGTGCTGGATGGACATTCCACCCAAATATCTTGCCAACTACTAGCGGATCTGTACCGAGGCCAGCGAGCGTAGTCTTGATCACACCATCGAATTCTTCTCTTGTGAACGGGTAGAAGAAGAAAGAAGGCTCCTCGTTCGGGAAATTCACACACCAGCCATATTGCTCACAACGCGCGTAGGCCACCCAACGAGACTTTTTACTCGCATCGAGGACGCTTTGTGGTATTTTCTTCTCCTTGGGGACAACAACTACGCTCTCCGGTGTTTTACTCGCGATGCCCAGGAAGTACTCGTGTCTATAGAGTTCTTGCTTCAGCAGCAGCTTTTCTCGCATCAACGTCTCACCCTCAATAGCGAGTCGGCATAGCGCGCTGTACAGTTCGCTGGAGTTGGTCGGCTTCTGCGTGGATGACTGACTCAAAGCTGCAACGAACCGTTTGACTTGTAGTTCGAGGTGGTCCTGTTCTCTTCGTAGTTGGATCAGCTCGTGCTGCTTGCGCGTTCGAAACCTCTTGGAGTTCTGACGGCGTTGCTCGCGTCTCCATTCATCCTTCACTTCATCAGACCAAGACTTGGTCAAGGACTCAGCCCATTGATGAGCTAAAGACGAGGAAGTGGCAGCGCTTGGTGTGTTGGGGCTTGTAGTCATCGTCAGAACTGACGAAAATCCAAACTGATCACGTCGGAGCGCGGTAGAACGACAAACTGATCTCATCATAGAGCTTGTCAAGCTCCAGGTGTTGGCAGCATTACAAATGATCAGTCTTTTTATTCAAGGTAGCAAGCAACAATCATGTTGGACAGGTGTCGGTCTGCTCTTGTACAGTAGTGGAACACAATAGAGCGTTCTTACCTGTGATTAGTATTAGAGACCATACTTTGAACGCATTACTACAAAATACCATGTGTCAATGAACTGATCACCACGGGGATTTACAAGTGGGCTGATGATTTACTGAAAAACAAGCTTATTCGCTGGCAGAAAAAGCTTTCAATTAGCTCAGGGAGTCAGCTGGCATGCATGTAGAATTTCCCAATAACTGAGCTCGGCGTTCGTATATTCTATCATATCTGCTCTGAGTAATTGGACTTTGTTGTTTTTTTTTTTCTTGTGGATATCTCGTATATCGTGACTAAACAAATACAGTACCGGTGCCACGTGGTCTGATTAGCCAGGGTTTATCGGAAAGCGTCGACGATCCTGTCAAATAGCATTTTTATGGAAACTATTTGAAATCGAAGTGCGAATATTTATATACTAAAATTACGCAGAAACTAATAAACTGTCTTCTTGTATGCCCAAAACTGTGAATGTTGACGCAGTCGGCCTAGAACAACATTCAAGCAACCTTGTACGAATGTGATCCAGTCACATTCAAGCTACCTTATGGCTTGACTTAGGAATTGAAGCCACTAGAACGACGGAGCTAGTAAATACAACCACACAAATGTCATGCGTCC